AATTTAGTTTGCTACTAAATTGTTGTTATAATATAGATTAGACATATTGTTAGAATTTGTTGAATGTTGTTGTTATTATTGAAGTTATGAATTTAAATCATTTGAATTGTAAATGAAATATTTTTCATTATTATTGATGAAGATTATTATATATTTTTATGATTATAGGTAATTTTATTATTTTAATTAAATTTATTAAAATAAATGAATTATTGTCTCTTATTAAAAAAAGAAAAAAAGTGAAGTAAAAATTCGACTATTGGGACATTCTCTTGATCCTATAAATCAAATTTGATACTATTAATCTTAATGTTATAATTGAATCCGATCGGACTAATGCTTACCTAATTCAATCTTTCCCATAAAAGAAGCAAGACTTCAGGTTAAACCAAAGTTCAATATTGTGGACAGCTCTACCGCTCACATTGCCATCACGCCAGGGCCGTTTTATTTATAGTTTATATTATCGTGGCGGCACTCGCACTAGCCAGGCGTTCCCTTTTTCGCTTTTATTTTTTTTAATATGAACATAATGAGGAGCGCTAATCCATGTAGAAGAAAGGAGAAGGAATCAATTTTAGAATGGAGGATGAAAAGAAAAAAGAAAAAATGATAAATAAGGACTTTATAAAAAAATTAATGTTAAATTAAAAACTTTAATATTAAAATAGGATAAAAGAATTATTGAAATTTGTGAATATCAATGTTAAAAGGTTGTAGTTTGACATTAATACTCATTTTTATTTGTCATTCTTTCAAATATATATTTGAGTTGAGAGATAATTAAATGTAAAATATTGAATGAAGTTGTGTGGGATGGTGAGATTGAGAATGCCGGTATTCGAACTCGTGAAAACAAAACTGTTGGACCACCAAGCCACAAGGTTGAGGGCAAATAGTGAATAAAGTGAAAGCAATGTGATAGATGATGTTAGTTTTAGCTAGCAGAGGGTTGGTGTTAATAGAAAAAGAGGGGTAGAGAATGTGAACTGGTGGAGCCAGGCGAATCGAGGAGTGCGCTCCTTGAACGTCTGGTGCGTGGATTGCTCCAATCATAAAATCAATAACCCTCAATTCAACATATATGAAAAAGAAAAACAAGAACCCATGCCGTTGTAGAGCGGGGTGGGGTTAAAACTTTAAAATAAAACGAGAGGTGAGAATGAAAGAGGACGCAAGTTTCAAAATATTCCAGGACACGCCCCTTGACGTGAACATAAAAGAGAAAGAGCGTCTGCTTTTGAGCTTTGACATCCTGTCCATCCCTTCCCCAGCAACGTCACTGTATACTTTAATTTAATCTCTCTGTGAAAACAAATGTGGCATCTCACTCCACCTTCCCTCTGCTGCAATAACATTGCCTCACAATTCTCCTCATCATCACTCTCCATTCCCTGTTCCCTTCGCTCGGGCGTGAGTTGTAATCACTAATCAGGGAAATAAAGTACACCTATAAACCTTGTTATTGGGGGGCTCCAGGGTACGCTCGGCCATGACATAGAGATAGAGCCAGAGGAGACCAGTTTCGGTGGTGCTCATCACAACGATATTCATTGTGATGAGATTTGAACTATTTAAATTTTAATTTAGATGGTTTAAATTTTAAATATTATTATATATTATATTTATTAAAATAAAAATATATAAAAATTATAAAATAATTTTAATAAATTTTTTATTTTTAATATGACTTAAATTTAATTTAGAGGGTCCAATTTAATATTAAAATTTTTATAATTATATATACTGACTATCCAGATGTACTCTGCACAGGCCATATTACAGTTAATTTTACCTCTGCAGAGTACATTTAGATAGTCAATATACATCAATTATAAAAATTTTAATATTAAATTGGACCTTTTAAATTAAATCTAAGTCATATTTAAAATAAAAAATTTATTAAAATTATTTTATAAATTTTATATATTAATAATTTTTTTAATTTAAACCATTCAAATTAAAATTTAAATAATTTAAATCTCATTACAAGAGCATCTAAACTGGTCTCAGAGCGAGAGATGATGAAAGAAGGCGCCAGAAAATGAATCCGTGAGGCGCGGTGGGTCCCGCTCCAGTACCCCCCACCTCGCTTCATCATTACCGCAGCCCCTGCACCCGATGGATATATTTGATAACAAAAAGGCAGTTATACCGTACAGCAGTCCCACCGTGGCTGTCCTTTGCTGCCTCTACACGTGCCCTCGTCTGGAGGTTTGCTCTCTCCCCCCCCCCGTGCCCGCTTATCCCCGCTCCTTTGTTTTCTTCTCCCCACTCTCTCTCTCTCTTTTAACACTCGCTGCCTTTTAACATTGTACTCCTCCATCCTCCTCCTTATATTTGTATCACTTTCAGTGCGATATAATTCTGAAAAACAAAAATGTGTCCTGTTGATACCAATCACTTTTGTGTTTATTACATCATATTTTAATTTATAACTAGGTTTTACACTCGTAAGATGGTCAGGATATTAACTCTCACTTATAATATGAAGGAATAGAAAGGATAGAGAATTTTAATAATGAATTTAATTTTTGGAAATGAGTAGAAGATTTTTTTAAAAAATATAAATGCAAGGGAAAGAAGTAAATAAAGTTACGTACAAATTTTAAATCACATTTTCTGTATAATAATTTGTTATATTTTATAACTTGTTTTCCTCTGTGTGTATTAATATAATTGAGAATATGAACCAAGCCTATTATGTTGCCCGTTCCTGATTGTTATTTTGGTGGTTTAACTCATTTAAGCCTTAAAAAGGAGGCTCGGTGACAGGAATATGTCCCTATACTTTAAATTGATGATTTATATTACTTATTTTAGATTTTAAAACATTATAATTTGTATTTTAGATAATGAATATATAATATTACAATGTCAAGCTTAATTTTTAAGAATTAAAAAATAAAAAACTATGAAATTTATTAGTATGCATAATTTTGTAAAGTAATAGTATCCTATAAGTTACTCCTTCTAGGCTACAATACATGGCATTTGTTATCAGTTTATGGTTTTCAAAAAATAAAATGGTTGATACCTTAATCCTTTTTAAAAAATTTACATTTTTCAATTATACATGTATTAAATACTTTATATAAGTGTCTTGATAGTGAAAATTAAAATTTCAATGCAGTATTTTATTTCAAAAAAATAATAATAAATGAAGTAGAGATATGGTTAAAAAATAATTATAAAAATTACTTAATTTTTTATATTTTAGATCAAATAAAACTTTTAAAAAATATCTTATATTATGATTTGAAAATAATATTTTTTTTAAAAAATATAACTTTAAATTCCTGTACTTTGCTCTTATTTTACTATAAGTTTTTATAGTTTTTTTTATATTTTAAGTTTTAAAAATAAAAATATAAAATATAAAATATTAAAAAAATATAAAGACTTATAATAAAAATGAAGTAAAGTGTAAAAATATAAATTAACGTTTCTTCTTCTTCTTTTTTTAATATTGGTTGCATGTTACAAAAACAAAGATACAACTTTTCTTAAAACTTTTGGCCCAAAAAACCAAAAAAAAAAGAAAGAAAGAAAAACTTTTCCGTAAAACAGTGCAGGGGGATAATGACAAAAGAGATAAGACGAAAATAATGGTGCGGCCCGAGTTGGAAGCATGGGCCCTACAAATAGTGGAGCAGCACTCTAGCCTGATGGTCCCGGCCATGCACTGCCACCTGCTGAATAGTACTATTAGTGAATACTAAACACTAAATAATTAATTATTTGGGGTGTTCTGTGGTTTCTAATTCACATCAAAAGTTATCCACCAACAAAAACCTTTTGGCCACTGAATGGTAAAAATATGAACGCGTGAATGATATTTTACCATAAGAGAAGGGGGGAAATCATGTAATTCAAAGTTAATATTTGTCCGCGTTGTCAATTTTTTTTAATATTGAGAATAGTTTATTTTATCAAAATAGTTTAAATCACTCGGTTAAATCTATCATAACGTTTATATATTCTGAATTTGAGTTGAGAGGTAATTAGAGGTGAACTTCTTTCTCTAATAAGTATGAGTGGGTGTTAATAATTGAAGAAGTGAAAGGTAAAGCGTACCTTTGAAAAGAAGGAAATGGAATGGAGTGATTGATTTAACGAGGCGGAGAAAAGTGTGAATCGGTGCTAGACCCATCATCTCACAGGAAATTCGAATGAAGGAAGGCATTAAGGGATGTATCACGTAAAGTGTGATTAATATCATAATTTGATGGCAGCGCCACTAAAGTCAGAGTGATTAAAAGGTGGATTTGATTTATAAAACTGAAAAAATGATGGAGTTGAGAAAGTGGGTGCCACTCGCATGAACCGATGGGGGCAAGCAGCCCAACGTTATGATGATGCAGCATTTGCTTGCTCAATGATTTACACATGACTTGTTCTTCCAACGTGCATTCTACAAATTCGTTTTCTCAATACTGCAACTTCGTATCTTTTTTCCTTTTAACATGACCAACTTTATACAAGTGTTCACACAACTCAATTTTAGATTTTGTTGAAAAATGCATTTTAAAAAAAATTGTTCAGAACTTCAGAAAGGCACAAATTAAAGTAACAAAAAAGGCTTGTCAGAACAAAAAGATGGCGCCTTTATGTTAACCAAGCAAAAGAGAGAAAGAAACGACGTTCATTTTGACTTGGGCCTCAGGTTGCCTGCCCATCACTCCACCCGCCGCGTATCAATAATTAATATCCATGATTTCCATGATTGTTTAGAATTGAAGAAGATAACCAAAACATGGGTTATTAATTTCTATTGCTTAGCACGCTTGATTTCTTGTGAATTATAAGCAATATCTGCAATAAGGCCCAACTTAACCATGATGCATTTCAAGTTGGTAGCAAATCCAATCTTCAGGCTACATATATATACGGATTAGCATGATTTCAAAGCGGTTCTGTTTCAGAGACCTAGATCCACGAATTTTGCAATCCCTCCTTTCTCTATCCTATATCCCTCTAGCTAAAGAGAACAAAATTAATGAAATAATGCAACAAGAGATTAGAAGCGCGTATCGGTTTTGAAACTTTTCAAGACCAAAGTAGTGTTTCCGTCTGGTAAAATTATTACTTGTGACAGCAGAGAAAATGATTTTGATGATTTCTTATAGATTGCAATCAATTTTAAATGGAGTCTCTTCTTAAGCGATACATTGCTGCAGTACTGCAAACAGCGTCAGGGCAGAAGCTTCGCCGCACTTCCGTTGCCAGTTCCTCCAGGCTTATTTGACAATCCAGTCCTATCTGCAACGTGGAAAGAAACGCAGAAAAATTTATAATACAGAATTCGTTTGAACTCCATGAGTTTTAATTTGTGTCGCAAGAAATTACCACACACACACACACACACACACTGCCACTCACTCATCAATCGGATGATAGCAGCTGTTCAATATTTATTTTTTTATCCGGAATTATGTCCTAGAGCCAAATCTTTATATTCTAACTTACAAATAAAATTATATGAACTAGCATTTTAAATGATGTATGAGAGATCACAGGAAGTTAATGCACGTGGTTTCCAGTCTCCGCCTAAAATCGTAAATAGTGATGTAAGCAAGTTAAAGCAGTATGTTATAAGCCGTTTTCTTCTCCATCACGGAAGTTTAACCAAGTTATGAAGTTGGGAATTGATGATTAAGTAATTTGCATAAAAATCAAGAGGAGGAACTCGGCTTCAAAATTTTCTTCTATGTATACTTCCAAGTACGTTCAGGTGTGCGTAACGCCGAGCTTTACCTATTATAAGCGGACTCCAATAATTCAAGCTTTATTCGTCTTTATTCTTTAAACTGATGCTACAAACCCTAATGCACAAACTCGACTCTAAGTATGTCAGACACTGCAACATGATCACGATCTCGTTTGGGTGTAAGAATATTCGTATAAATTCCTGGCATGGTTAATTATTCTTGAAAATAAAGTTGTAACTAAACATAAATACAAATAAAAAAGGCCATCAATGAAAACAGCTTCGATAATTTGTGAGTCTTTCACTCTTACCTACTTTAATTCTAAGCTCTTAAGCACCCGGCGATCAAGTTTAAGTACGTATATGAATTAATTTAGCTATATATACTATAGGACAAAATTCAGGTACCTAGAGTTGCACGTGTTTGCTTTAACAGGATTATAAGATATTTTTTCCGCAGAGAAGACATGATAGTTTTTATATATAATTACTTAATTAAAGATCACCACTTAGGTTTAGGTGCGTGATGTTTTACCTTGAGAACAAAGTGGTGGAGAACCATATCCTGCATGCTGCCGATGTTGAGATGAAGAACTTGAAAAGAAAGGCTTTCCAGAACAGCTATTATCTTGGCAAGTTGACCCGGAATCCTATGTGAAATCAGTCTGAGTATGACATTGGAGCCTGAGATTTTGAGTTCCACGTCAGCAACTGATGAATTACAGCTAACTGTTCCTCCGGATTCCTTGAATGAGTCGGCAGACCCAATTCCGATTCCCGAGGGACTATCAACTCGATGATCAAGATTTATTAATGGAGTAGCGCCACGAGGGCTAGGGCTTAGACTCTTTCTCCTTTTCTTGGACTCCAACGCTTCAACAACTTGGTGTAACTCCTTGATGAATTCGATCACGCCCCCTATTATAGATGCTTGGTCTCCCTGTATCACAAAAAAGAAAATATATATATCGCACAAGATCAGAGTGTTATCATGAACATCACTCAGACACAAACAAATAGAACGAGAAAATAAAGTGATCTATCTTTGCTTGATTCCTGCTAGTAGTGATCCCCTATATTTGTAAGCAATCAGTTTGCCTATTCCTGAACCTAACTCCTATATTTTCTTGTTAAAATAACTCGAACAACAATAAGAACAAGAAGAAGAAGGAAACAGAATACCCTCTTGATATAGAAACGGGGGGTCAATGATCTCAGAACTTTGAGATGTTCGTTCATCTGTCTTCTTCTGTTCCTCTCGACAGTTATATGAGACATTTTAGCCAATTAAAGGGGAAAAAAATGGTTGCTGTGTGTGTGAGAGAGAGAGAGAGTTAATTTTGTTTCTGTTTTTGGTGGACAGACGAGATATCTCTACAACCTCAAAAATCAAGGTCGATCGGGGGCTCTCTGGGCTCGATCTATTTATATGAGCCAAAGAGAGAAGAGGATAGTATTAAGGCTGGTATTGAATGCTATATGTTGCTTTCTCGTGAAGCATTGTTTCACACGCACATATATAGCCCGTATAATTCTCTCTCCCCCCCTATTGCGTATACACTTTACGCGTCTCACGTTTATGATATTGGCTCAATTACATGCCCACTCGTGAGTTAAAATGAGGGTGACGATAGAGTTATTGTCTCAGCTCTTCTATGCATTTTTATTTGTTTTCTTCATGCATAACTTGCGGGCCTTTACGTCGCTGATTATCTTTTTTCTAATGAAGATTTCATTGTTTTTATTATGACTCTGTGTTATATATGTGAATAGTAGTTCCAGGATAAGTTCAATCTTGTTTCTCTCCGGGAATCAGATTTAGTGACAAAACCCTAATGATCACGATGCATGCATATTGCCAAGGTACCAACCCTGTTAATTTATTGATGAACAGTCGTGCCAGTTGAAAACGAAACTGGTTATGCATTAAATTTTTTATGCACTGACTGAAAGCCAAGTAGTCAGTTAGGTACCTGCCGTGAATCTGTAGTTTTTATAGTTTCACGAAGAAAAAATGTGACAAATATATTGTGTCTCTCTTGGTATTCTTCACCGAAACTGTTGCTCTGGTTAGAATCTGAAAGTTCAGAGTTATAGTTTTATTTTCTTAAAGAACAGATGTATATCTTATCATCAAAAAAGAACAGATGTATACCTAATCTCTCGTGATCTTCGATGAAAAGAGTTTCCCAATTCGAGAGTAGCAATTTATATTAATAGTTGATAAATATTCGTTAGCAGTTACTACAAAAAGGACCTTAATTAGAAGTTGAAAATCGATGCTTTATGAAAACATACATGATGTTCACGTAATTTAATGGTTGTACAAACCTCATAATGCGATAACGGCCGTTCGATCATCCAAAGAAAATTTCTTAAAAGATTTCTTTTCTCGAAATAAAAATAGAAACATTCATTTAATGTTTTATTTAAAAATACATAAAAATATTTTAATGTTTCTTGTATTTTCATTTTCATCACACACGCATATATATGTTTACCAGACAGTCCCTAGATATGGCAAAGATTTATTGTATCTGAAATAAAATGTGTAAACTTAACTTTGAATCAACATTATTTTTCTAAACTTGATTTTGGTTAAGAATAGATTGACAGAGTGTGTACCAGAATACGAGTGGGTCAAGCCGAGTAGAAAGAAGTAGTGGATGCTTAGATATGGACAAACTTTTGCCATGATCATAAAGAGGTTGATTAAATAAGCACCCCAATCCTAATTTATGAAGCGAGAAAGAACTTCGTCTCCCAACATGCAAGCAGGTAACAGAAATGCCATGAAGATCCCACGATTCACGGCTATGATCGAGTCATAAAATAATTGGTAGTGATGACTTGAAATCTCCATAAAAGGATTCCGCTGAGACGAAGAACACACGAATTCTCATTACATCAATATATCAGCAAACAATCCCACAAAGCATTCCAAAAGCTCGCTAAAATGCAGATTCTTTCTGCAACTTCATCCTTTCATTTGGCTTTAAATAATTTCTAGTTTAATTCCCGTGACCGTATGAAGCCCATTTATTTTCGGCATCAAATAAACTTTTATTATCTATCATCTAAATAATTGTTAGTTTCTTAAATTAATTTTTTTAGAAATATATCCAAACATAAATCCTGCCATAATAACTAACTTTTACCAAATTTTGATTTGACAAACAGACTTTTAATAAACGGGGCTTTTGACACATTGAAAACGAAAATATACACTTCAACATGATACTTCTACTTCTCAAGAGGAGGGATTCCAGCACAAGGAGTACTAATATTGAATCCGAAACTCCGGCATTAAAGATTAATAACGGTCCAAAATGCGCTGCTGTCTAGGACGATCCTCGGGAGCCAAAGGACCAATGCCCTGCTTATTCCCCCTCCCCCATTCTTCCTTATCAAATGTATTGACTACAACCATTGACATTCCGGTTCTCAATTCATGCTGTCTTGATACAATTTCTAGATTTACACTAAATCTTACTAACCTTCATGTTTACAAAGTATGGCCAATCGCCTTTCTGTTCTGCACTGGGACTCTTGATTTTTGTATCCGAAAACAAATCAGAACCAAATTCACACAATCTTCTCAATTCGCACCTGTATAAAGAAATTGTAGAAAGAACAATTATGGGGAATGTCAATCAGTGGGGACTAGGAAGAAAGAAAGATGATCACCCGGATACGCAACACGGAGAAAAGAATCTTCCAGTAAATCACAATATGACAACAGAGAATAATTCATAAAGGCTGTCTTTTCAATACACTGCACATTTTGGTTTGGTTAAGCATTTTACAAGTCAGTTTCAGTCAATTATTTTATATGTGCCAAATGATCTTTCGTGCATTATTTACTCCTGCTTTGAGGTTTCAATAAGTGTATAGTTACCATCTGATGATGCAAAAATCTATATGCAGCGCCAGGCTAGGTTACAATTCTAGATAAGCTAGGTTGGAATTTTGAATATGGTTAATGCAATTCAGTAAATACCTTGAAGAGATTTTTCAAAGTCCTCCAGCTGTCGAATGAAACCAAGGTTGGGAGATGCTGTTGGTCGTCTGCTCTTCACATGCTCCAAGGCTTGAGATAAACTCATTCGATGAGTCTTCATCAGATATGCGACCACTATAGTCACACTGCAAAGAGAACATATAACGGCACACTTCGTCCTGTTATTCTTGGGAAAAGAGGAAAGAGAAAAGGAATGCTGGAAATGTGGAGTATTTTAACTTGTGAATTGTATATTGAAAACAGGAACGGTGAAATGCTGCTACAAGCTTCCTGCAGAAAGGAAGTCACAGGCTCAAAGTAAAGGAGGCAATGGATTTTCATTTTAAAAGAGCATTCTATCCCCGTGCAGGTCCTGTTTCCTCACTATTCTTTAGTCTACATATGTTACAATCTAGATCTAGTTATGCTACTTTATAATTCTAGAGCGCAAGACATAACCTGAAACAAGATTCTTCTTTCCATGATGAAGACATACATAAGATTCCAGAATAAATCAATATACATATACATACATACATACATGTATATATATACATATATATAACATTTATAAGAAGCCATACTATTCATAAGTCACAAATATTGTAACTTACTCCTTATACTTTGAGTAATGAGTTGTAAAACTAGTAAAAAAGATAAATAACTGGCTTCACTAAAATTGGAAAAGGGATCCAAAGCAGAGAAGCATGAAAATTAAGCCAGGGTCGAAAACAAGAAATTTTACCTTCTGGATCTTCCAGCAAAGCAATGAACTAAAGTCCCTCCAAGTCTTTTGCCTTCATCAATAAAATCAAAACACTCACTGAAGTATTGTTTTATGTCTGCATCATCTCTGTCAACAACTACCTCAATTTTCCAATAAAAACATAAGTTTAGTATGGCAATCATGCTAGAAGCAAGACAGAGTTGGAGCGGAAATAAGCATAATTACATGCTAAATAATACATTCATACACTCACTAAATTCAGTAATCTAGCGAACGCAGTGCAATCATAGTACAACTACTAACAGTATAAACTGCAGAGACAGACTTAATTGTGACAACGCCATATGACTCTTAATGATAAAAGTCAGTTCATATCGATGATGATAAGATCTATCATAAGGAGTAGATTGTTGTCTGCTCATAGTCCAGGAGCATCAAAGATTTTTTTGACAGCAACAGTGGCTGAATCTGCCCCTTGTTTTTAGAAGCCCCATAAAGGTCAAAACATGAACTTCCAAAATTTATAATGATGCTACTGCCCAAAATTTCAGAAAAATATATTCTAACATCTATCCACTCAAGTTTAGAAGCCCCCCTTCAATGATTTGTAGTGAAACCAGGTCTCTGAAATCTAAAACCACATAAATACTTCTTTCCCCAACCTAATCAAGTACAAAACCCTATCTAGGTAAGCAGTCATAGGATATTAACGAGCATGAGAAGATCCAAGACAGACAATACTTGTTCAATCTAGGAAACTCACATACCACTGATGGTTTTATATACAAAATCATTAGGATGTGCGGGTGTCAGAGTATTAGCCACAGTTAAAACATGAGTAACATTCAAGTTTTTAAGTGCTTGCTTGTTAGCTGCAGCGCCAACCGAACCCAAGAAAAGACCCTGCAACACGAAAAGCAAAGTACTGAATGAAAATTGAAAAAAAAAATGCTATTTAAATTTAATAGCATCCCAGGTACATCAGCCGCAGCTATGCTACCTCTTCGATTTGGCAAGGAACATTATCCTGTTTATAGTAATTAGCTGCAGAGATAACCCGCAAAAGTGCTGCCATTTGTTTCTTCAACGTTTCATTAACTTCATCCATACTGAGTCTGCTGAGATTGCTCTTCTGCTTAGTTTTCTTATCACCTTCGAATAAAGCAGGAAATAGCTAAGAATTGCAAACCTTTAAAGCAAATAACCAGTTTCCAGAAGCTACATTTCTCTTTTTATTTTTTATTTTTAAAAAAATAAGATTTACCCTACAAATTTCACCATTTATTTATCATAAAAACGAAGGGCAAGAATATCTTCTGAGTTCTGACCGAAAGAAAAACGGGTAATCAGGAACCAGGTCAGACTAGAAATAGCCAAGAAAGTGTCCAAATAACCATAATTACGCGCAGTTGTTAATTATCAATGAGTAGCAATGGAAAAAGAACGATCTCAGATCGTGTCTCACTAAAAAAGAATGAGAATTGACCGATAACTTGTTTTAATAAATAGGCAAGGACTTACAAATCGCAAAATCTGGCATAAGAGAATTGACAAGAATGCAGACGAAGATCCAGCACAGAGAATTCAAGAATTTGAAAAATGAGCTTAAGGAATTCACAAGAGCGATTCGATCACAAGAGCAGACAGAAAAAATGAGAGAAAAACTCACCAAGAAAGCTTTGAATGAAGTTGCGTGCGAGAAAATTTTCGATGATGGCACTCTTTCGTTCACGGAATCAAGCCAGATGGCTTGTTTTACTCCGACTCCGATGCCCAATCACCTCACGCAAAGATGTCCTTATTTCACACATTCATCGATATCATATACCTTTTTCATTTAAAAATATAAAATATTTATTATTAAATTTTATTTTTAATAAAATAATTATTATTTTAAAATTAATTTTATTTTTTATATTTATTTTTATTAAATACCCTATAATAAATATAAAATTATTATTAATAAAATTATTTAAAAATAATTTATTATTTATATTTTTTAATATTTAATTTTTTAAAAATATCTTCATTTTTTAATTAAATTTAAAATTTTTATTTTTTTTTTTTAAAAATTGTTTGACATTTTATTTTTACACTTTATTTATATTAATTTTTTTATTTAAAAAGGTTGGCACTCCAAAGTCCAGTCGTCGCCATTACAGGGGGATTATTCTAGTTTTCCTATATGGCATTACAATCATACATTTTTTTATTGACAACTTTTTTTTTTGGAAGTTTAAATTTGATGATAATATGCATTATTGATTGTTAATTATTTGTTGGGGGATGCTAATCATGTTTAACTTGTGAATGAAAAATTTAACAATTTCACTGATGGTGATAAGATCAAAAATAATAAACTTAATTTTTTTATAAAGTATGAGATTCGAGCTTTATATAAAAAATATGTGGAAACACTAGCTTCGATTAAGTTAGATAATGTTTAAATTTTGTTCCTAATATGAAAAATGAACAAATAAAATAAAGAAATATAGTTTGGGTCTTAAAACTTAAAAGGCAAATATGGAAGGAAAATGAGAGAAATTGTGGAGGGCAGAAGGGGGAAGGGGGCGGGGGAGAAAGCGACGAGGTGTCGGGGCTATAGGACGTCACATTACATGTCAACAACCTGTAGCATCACATTACATAAATATATGCCACGCGTTTCTCAAAAGAGCCCATGTAATAGTTTATTAAAAGATTGAAATTGTCTTTAAAATTTATGGCGACTTTATTATTTTTCATTTGTCTGAATCGCAATATAAATTATTAATAATTA